TTTCGGCCTCATCCAGTATTTTGTCATCGCATTCTTGAATGGTTTTTAGACATTGCCTTATATCTTGTATTGTTGCAGTCATCAAATCTTTATCGGATGTCAAGAATTCGTCTTTTTGCATGAGTTCTTCGGCTTTGTGAATCTGTTTGGTCATCTGTCCTCTGTTGCCCTTACGCTTCTTGCTTGCTTTCTGGCCGTCAGTTTCTGCCATATCGATGATGTCTTGGTTTACTCTCTGTTTCAGTTCAAGATCCTGGTCTCGGCACCATAAATTCTAATGTGGGAAAAGGTTCGACGTATGTGTGTGTGCGAGAGAGTAAAACAAGGCGATGTTGACTGTTTCAAACCTGAAGAAGAACTGATTTATTTCTCAGTAATACAGAGATAGTTAACACGTGTTGTTTATACAGTTGAAGTAAACAACTACTACTAATACTAAATATAAATTCAGACATGAAAGGCGGCATTAAAACTATCTACACACAGGATGTTGCGTAATCCATCTACTAATACCAGCCATGAACAATATGCGGTAAGAGTCTGTTTGATGGCGGCAGCGTTTGAGATAATACGACTACACAGATTTTCCGACAAAAATTGTGGTTTTCTAAGACGAGACGTTAATAGATATACCACAGGGTAAATAAACTGCCACATGGGAAACTACTCTGCCTTTTGTCGATACGCCGACTGGAGTTAATGATGTCAATTAAATAAACAATACAGTGGTCTCAGCAGTCGTGTTTTTCGCAAAGAGCAAAAGTTCAGTAACATGTAATGCAGTATGTTTATTTCAACTGTGCAATCGCAAGAAGTAGCGTGACGTAGCATTGCGTTATTGTGACATTTAAACATGACGACTGAAACATGATATGCATCGTGGCTCATCGGTATATTTAAATTCGTCTATGAATTATATCACAACCAATCCATATTCATATTAGGAATCGATGATAATAAACAAATGGACAATTCATAAGTATGAAATTATAAAGGACTGGCGGACATTCCGCTATCCTACAAAAACAGTATTAAACTATATAAACAACGTCAAATACAACCAATTGCAAGAAATGATGCCTTGTGTCTCAAGTCGCTTGTGTACATTCTGCTTCACTGTGACATATACTTTTCTAAAAATTAACATTGAAAAATTATAAGGCTTGTTAAAATATTTCAAAATACAATAAATAATGAAATCGACATGTGGCTAAAAGGCGGTTGCCTGCCGTGTACATTTGTGATAAAGTGCGACTTTAACTTTTTTTTTTTTTTTTTTTTTTAAATATTTTTTGTGCCAGGCGACAGTTCCGGACATTCAGTGTCACTGTTGTCTCTCCTGACTTTTTTTTTTGTATGTGCAAATTGCAAGTGCTAGTGAAAGACACATAGTGCATTTTGCCACAAAAGTCATATTCATGTTTGGGACTACATGACAGGGTTGTGTGGCCATCTCTCTGTCAAATGGCAATTTGTAATGCGCTATCCTGGCGTCAACCAGGCCCGGTCGAACACAAGCACCTGCGAACCTTAACCAAGGTTCCCCCAAAGTCGCATTCGTTAGTGAATGAATCTCGGCCAGTGGAATCGGCCTTCCCATTGAGTCTGTGGTACACTCACCCAGGGTAGGGGTCGACCATTTTGATGTTCAGCCTAAGGTAGGATTTGAACTTGGGTCTACCGATCATGAGTCTGATGCGACAACCACTATGCTACCAGTGACCAGCGACTTTAACTTTGTGTCTGCAGATGCTTACTATAAGACGAATCACACTGGTATGACGGACAAGTAAGTATCACTGATTGTGCCGCTGTTTTTGTTTACCCATGCGTGGCAGTCAACGAGAAAGAGCTATTTACGGAATCAGCTATGGTTGATTGAAACAGACTTGTTATGGACAAAATACTTACATGTTATTGTATATACTAGTACATCTCCTCTACGAAAGTCTCCTTCAAATAATAAATACATTCATGACATAAATGAACTAAAGTTTTATTTACTTAAACTGCAATTTACTATTTTGAAAATATTTGCATACGATTATATACATGTGATAGATGTGTGCATGAATGATACTTGTATATATTATTGTTATTTACGAGACAAATAGAGCACGACAACTTAAATTCGACATAATGTTTTTAGTTTCAGAAATTACATAATTTAGGCCGAGATATATAGTAATTTATTCAATATTATGCGCACATTAAACAAATACATTTGAAGTATGTAAAAAAGGCTTAGGCATATATCAATTTTAGAAATGTAACTTATTTATAAATTATTAAAAATGATTTCGGCTAAATTAGGCTTTAGTCAAAGTATATATGATGTCCATTATTCAATGTAGGGGTGTCAGGAGGACTGTATGACGTAGAGATAGTTGTAGTTGGTTGTGGATAATATGGTTCCGGAGACGCCCCAGTGTTCGATGTTGCATATATCTCTGCCTGTGGCGTGTACACGTACGAAGTTTCACCAACAACTGCAATAAATTTAAATAAATGATTTTGCTTTGTGTAAATTTAGTGCGCGTTAATAGGCGGGCATCCCATTGAGAACTGTTCAAGTATTGATAACTGTATCGAGGGCGGAAACGTCCTCATGTTAGTTTCACTGGACCAACTCATAGACATATCTGTCTACTGTCAGATGAGTTACTGATAAATTATTGCACGTGGTCATAAAACAGTGAACAGTGAAACAAAAAAGTTCGGATTATATTCGGATTACCACACAGAATGAGTTAAAGAGGTAATGTGTGTGATGTCAAATTATGTACACTCATATCTATATGGTTTGCGTGAATTTTATTCAACACTAATTTGAGTAATGGTAGTGGAAACCTTTCATTTTTTTCAGATATTAATGAATACTACTGATAAGCAGACTGTACGAAGTTGTTACTGAGTGTTGCCACTATAATTCATTAAACGTTCAAATAATGTATATATTATGTCATACCTGTTGCTAAGCAACTGTCAAAACTTGGTTCGTTGCTGTGACAGCGACACAACTATAATTGCTAGCGCCAGTTAATATACAATACATCACAATTATTTCACGCAAATCAAAGTTCATCATAAAAATATGGATTATCCACGACTACATGAATGGTGTATCACGATGGTTAGCCAAAACTCACCGATTGGTGGCGATGTTTCCGTGTGTTCAGTTGGTTCGTGCACAACAACAACAACCTGCAACAAAACGAAATTAATGACCTAAAACATGCTTTCATAATCAGCATTTCTTACCATCATAACTTTTACGGAGTTTCGTCATATTGGTTCCAAAGTTGTAACTAGTATATAGAAAAAATCAAAATAGAACAGACGAAATTCGAACACATAGAGTTTACGGAGTTTAGTTGTAACTATTATTTGGAAAAAGTCAAAATAGTATCACGGGGGAAAATCTCTTCTCTCGGGGTTCTCCACACGTGTCAGGTGGAAACACGTCTCGTCTCTCTATCGCGTCCCCTCGAGGTACGGGATCGGGAAAGTCACTTATACTTTACAGTCAAATAAGACGCACACAACGAAATACGTTTCAACTCTCGTCTTAGTCGATCAACCGAGCACTCTATAAGACACAGCGTCCTGGGGAAAAGTCCCCAAGAATCTCACAAGGCTGAACCAAGACTCGCCCAAGACTGGACTGCCTCAAGGCTCGCCCCTGGACTGGACTCTCGACTCGACTCGACTGCGTCTGTCGTGGAGTATTCGCCAAGACCAACTCAAACTCTCTTTATTCATTTTCAATACTCTAACCAATTACAAAACAGTAAAAGACTCTAGGGCGTAACCTTCAATCATAAAGCCAATCACACTAAGTACTGAATACGTCATATCTTTTGATTAATCGTTCACTACATTAATAACTATGGATATAAACTGTCAGAATGAGTAGTCTAAATAGCGGCGGTTATCTGGTAATTAGTTCCAAATCACTGAGCCAAGTTCCGTCCAAAACTTCAAATAGGCCTACACGATGACAGACATAACACAGCAATTCAGCTAATAATCAACTAATTAAGTCGGTTAACAGATACGCGAAAACAAATTCATGACAATAGAACAGACGAAAATCGAGCACATAGAGTTTACGTAGTTTAGACATATTAGTTGCAAAGTTATAATTAGTATATGGAAAAAGTCAAAATAGAACAGACGAAATTCGAACACATAGAGTTTACGGAGTTTAGACACATTAGTTGCAAAGTTGTAACTAGTATATGTAAAAAGTCAAAATAGAACAGACGAAATTCGAACACACAGAGTTTACGGAGTTTAGACATATT